TACCTTACAAGATATTCCCTATTTACAAGAATCTCTAGTACTAGATGAAGTTAAATCAGCAATCTGGTCATTACCAAGTCAGAAGACTGTAGGAAATGATGGAATATCTACAGAAATATGGCAAGCAATAGAATCAAGATTCTAACCAAATTATGCCAGCAAATCTTGAGAACAATGCAGTGGTCAACAGAACTGAACAGATCAGTTTACATACCAATACTAAAGACAGGAGACTTAACAGAATGAGCTAAGTATTATACAATATCCTAGTTTTAGAAAAGGCCAAGGAATGAGATCCATTATTGGTGATACATGCTGGATAATTGAAAAAGCCAAAAAATATAAAAATGAAGTCCATATGTACTTCAATTATTACAGAAACGCCTTCAGTTTTGTCAACCATGTCAATCTGTGGGATGTCCTTAAAAATGGGATCCTACATTTTATTGTCCTCATGTGAAGCCTATACATAGGAGGTGTGCATCCTATCCTGTGTATAGGCTTCACATGAGGACACTCTGCCTCCAGATCAACATAATACATTAAATAAGGCATATGGTTTGTTTAACCACAGTTTATTGAATAAGCCAAAACTGGCTATATTCACACTACATTCTAAACATTACATTCTGGTTTGGTGATCGTAAAGACTGAGTTCACACAACACATTAAACCACAATCAAACAACTGACATTGTAGCATAGTGTGTAATGTGAACTAACTAGAGAATGGTGGCTGATTTCAACCTATGCTCCAAAAGTTGCAGAAGATTCAACAGAAATATTAAAATCAGATGAGCACATCCATATGTATATGCATTGCCCCTGCAAATTTCCAATAATTCAACCATGTAATTGCAATAATTATAGTAATCACTGTAATTATTGTGACCCATATATAAGGTCAAGTGTTTGCCATATATTAAATTATATCTTTTTTAATCCCACATTTTAATGGTATATGGGAATGACCCTGGGAGAATGGGGCAAGAGACACTGCCTAGGGAATGGTCAGATAAGGGACAGCATACCCCACAGCTGGATAGCGGGTGGGGCAATAGGCTCAGAAGACACCCTCCATAATTTCTCAGGTGCAAAGGAGAGAGGGAAAGAATTGTACTTTCAGACTTGCAAGATTGATGTCACCCTTACCAGGTAGACAGCATACCCCACAGCTGGATAGCGGGGGGGGCAATAGGCTCAGAAGACACCCTCCATAATTTCTCAGGTGCAAAGGAGAGAGGGAAAGAATTGTACTTTCAGACTTGCAAGATTGATGTCACCCTTACCAGGTAGACAGCATACCCCACAGCTGGATAGCGGGTGGGGCAATAGACTCAGAAGACACCCTCCATAATTACTCAGGTGCAAAGGAGAGAGGGAAAGAATTGTACTTTCAGACTTGCAAGATTGATGTCACCCTTACCAGGTAGACAGCATACCCCACAGCTGGATAGCGGGTGGGGCAATAGACTCAGAAGACACCCTCCATAATTACTCAGGTGCAAAGGAGAGAGGGAAAGAATTGTACTTTCAGACTTGCAAGATTGATGTCACCCTTACCAGGTAGACCAGGCAGGAAACATGACCAGATGAACTAATTCTACTTTATTGTAAGGCTATATTAACAGAATCTTGCTAAGTAGCATGGGAAGCTCCAATTAAATGTCCTGCCTAAGACACTAAAACATCTCTGGTTTAGAGACGATGTGGGGCAAAAAGGCCAAAGCTATCCACAGACTGCTTTTACTGGTCTCATCGGAGGAAAAGATAGACTAACATAAAAGTCTGCTGAATTCTACCTGTCCTTCCACAGCTTCCAATATTATTCATAACAAATGAGAAACTGTCTTTTGTAGTAGCTGTTCGTATACCCCAGGTGTCTGCTTATTTGTTCCTTTGAAGTGGGATATATTTTGTGCACTGTTCCAGCCAAACAGAACAAATCTATTTGCCTCCCAAATGTTCTTTCCATATTACTCCTCTGTTTACCATTCCAAACAGTTGTCCTGGAATCCTCTGCACACTTAGAACAGCTGTTCTGGTCCTTTTTGCTCTGCTTCACTGATGCATGGAGTGACAACTCTATGGAGATGGAAACAAGGCCCCTAATTCTAACCATAAACTTGAT